TTTCAAGGACAATTAGTAATCCAGTCCGAGGAACTTTTGCTGAAACACCTACTGGAGGACAAATCCACGGTTATTTCAAGGAATGTTGCTAAATTTCTTTTTATTGCAATTATAAAGCGTAAAAGGTAAAGGTTCCCTTGCTCGAAAGCCAGTCGAATCCGACTCTAGGGTTGCGGTGCTCATCTCCGTTTCAAAGCCGAAGAGCCAGCGCTGTCCGAAGACGTTTCCGTGGTCATGTGGCCAGCATGACTAAACACCGAGGTGCACGGAACGCTGTTACCTTCCCACTGAAGTGGTCCCTATTTATCTACTTGCAATTTCTTGCTTTCGAACTGCTAGGTTGGCAGGAGCTGGAACCAGAGACGGGAGCTCACCCCGTCATGCGGCAACTCGGGTCTCGAACTGCTGAACTACTGACCTTCCACAGCCTGCAGTTCAGCGTCTTAACCACTTAATACTCCTTGAGATGTTTTTTCTCTGTAATGCCTTACGACAATCTGGAGACTGTTTTTGATTCTGTATGCTGTTTGATGGGTCTTTGACCGTAATAAACTGATTGACTGATTGATTGATTGCTGTCTAAGGCCACAGCAAGTCTAAGGCCTGGCATGATCTGGTCCATGGGGTCGCAAAGAGTCGGACTCGACTGTGCAACTGAACAACAAAAGGCCACAGCAAGATGTAAGATGAACAGGGTTGCCAGCGCCAGGCTGCGAAACTTGTGGCGATCTGAGGAGAATTAGGGTTTGAGGAGGGGAGGGACCTCAGTGGAGTATAATGCTATAGTCCACCCACCAGAGTGATCATTATATTGCCGGGGAACTGACCTCCTCTGTCATCTGGAGACCAGTTGCAATTCTTTACCTGGAAGTTGGCAACTTTAAATGACAACTAGCTGAAGCTCTGGTTTTGCCTGTGGCTTGACCAGCAGAAACCAACAGATGCAGCTTTGCACAATAGGGGGAGAACACACCCACTGTTTCCTTGTTGCTGAGGTCAATCCTAGAATCAGTGGAAATGAAAGTTTGAAAGCGCAATGAAAGGAAGGGGAGAGGGAAATCTACAATGCCGCTGGGGTTGCTGGGGTTGCGACTGTCTGCAGATCAAAATTGCTGTTAAAAGGCAAGGGAATAGTAGTTGTAGGTAAACTGGCAATCCCGGCACCAGGGTTTTATTTGTTGATGCACTTGCTCTTATTGATTGTCTGTCTTTCTTGCTGAAATGCTGGGACCTCAATATCCATTAATCAACTGCGACTGAAACGTTTCCTGTTTTAGATTTAGCACAGAGTATCTGCGAGTACATACAAAGTTCCCCTTTGTTATTTTTGGTCCCTTAATAGGCCCTGAACGGTACCTATGGGACCACCTCTCCTGGTATGTCCCTCGGAGGGCACTGCGCTCAAGTGATCAACATCTATTGGAAGTCCCTGGCCCAAAGAGCTGTCCCTCAAGCAGGGCCTTTTCAGCCCTGGCTCCCTCTTGGTGGAACTCACTGCCGCAGGAGACGTTACCATTCCGCAGGGCCTGCAAGGCAGAGATGTTCTGCCAACCATATGGTTGAAGACAACAACCGTTTTTAACAGCTACAGCTTTTTAACATCGTCAACTGGTTTTAACATCAATGATCTAGCGGGCTAATCAATCGTGAACAGATGCCGGTGCACTAACTGCTTATATCTTCTCCCCCCCACCCACTGTTAAAGAATTGTTAAAGGAAGGTAAAGGTAAAGGTTTCCCTTGCTCAAAAGCCAGTCCAATCCGACTCTATTTCCAAGCCGAAGAGCCAGCGCTGTCCAAAGACGTTTCCAAGGTCATGTGGCCAGCATGACTAGACACCGAGGTGCACAGAACACTGTTACCTTCCCACCGAAGTGGTACTTATTTATCTACTTGCAATTTCTTGCTTTGGAACTGCTGGGGTTGGCAGGAGAAAGTAAAGTAAACTGGGGGACTAAAATTATATTACCGTGCCATGTGGGTTTGGGGCATTTTAGAACTGTACTTTAGATTATTTGTGATTTTATATGTATTTTACAGAACTTTTGTTGTACACCGCCCTGAGCCTGCTTGGGGGGAGGGTGGTATAAAAGTCTAAATAAATAAATAAATATTCCATGGCTGGGGCTCCCCCCTTATTGTGGGAGAAGCGGAAAAACCACCTGAGTTTGGTTTTGCACGCCTGCGCTTCCTTGCAGGCTTTTCCCATTGATTTTCTGACTTCCGAGCAACATGAACTGTCAACCCTACCTATACAAAGGCAAAAAAGGGATATTCGATGGAACTCTGTTCATGCTCAGAGACACTCTTGTCGCCCAGCAGCTTCCACTAGACGGAGAGAAAAACACACACCACCAACTATGCATCTCAGTCTGCACAGAAGTAAGCGCGGTCGTTGAACTTTCTCTTAAGTAAGCACACAACGGGAAACCAAAACTCTGCATGCAGCTAAGGGTGCAGGTCCAGAAGACCCGTCCCCACGGAGGAGAGAAGGCTACCGGCCCCTCTCCGTGCATCCCCCCACCCCAGTTCAGACCTGTGCGAACGCTCCGGAGGACGGGCAGCCGCTCCGTCTTTTCTCAAGCTGACGCTGGAGGAGGCCACTTCTTAAGTTTCGGTTTCTATTCTCGCTGCCGCTGCGGCGGGGAATCAAAACTCAGGCGAGCGTGTTGGCGCTGCGCAGCTCTGCCCCCTAGAAGAAGAGACGCTCGGCCAGCAGCGCGACCGGAGCGCTCGCCGGCTCGGGAAGACCGGAGGGGAGTGGGAAGCGCCGAGCCCTCTTCGCACGCAGTAAGTCGCGGGTCCCCTTTGCTCAAGTCTCGCACCTTCGGAGGAGACTGCTGTTGCCGAGCGTTTGAGCCTGTTCCGCGGGGACCCCACGCGCTACTTTTTCCCCAGTCCGTTCAAAGGTGGTTTTGCGTAACAGCCCTGGACTTTTCTAGGTGGTCCCCCGTCCTGCTTTTCTAGGTGGATCCCGGGAAGGTGGCTTTTTGAGATCGGTTCGGGTGGGGCAGCCGTGTTGGTCTGAAGCAACAGAACGAAGTCTGAGTCCAGGGACGCCTTTCTTAGGGGCGAAGTTTAATTCTGCGTATGAGCTTTCGTGTGCATGCCCGCTTCTTCAGATACACATGAAAGCTTATACCCAGAATTAAGCCTTGTTGGTCTTAAATGTGCTGCTGGACTCAAACTTTGCTTGACTGCTTCAGACCAATACGCCTACCCACCGGAATCTAATTCAATATAAATAATACATCCAGCCTCTGCTAGATCAACAGGTCACAGCGACCAAGAGAAAGAGACCACCTATCTACCAGGCATCCACACGAAAGCTTGTACCCAGAATCAAACTTCGTTGGTCTTAAAGGTGCCCCTGGACCCAGACTTCGTTCTGTTTTTGAGATCGGGACAGTCTGACCAAGAATTTAGCAAAATCCTTGCAGTTTGTCTATCTGCTTACTTAGGGGGCTTCCTCTCTAGTAAGGGTGTGGAAGATTGCAGAGGTAGGTAAGCGAAATAGGGGGATTTTATTTCGCTAAATCAAAAATGTGGGTGTCTTTACAGAGAATATTTATTTTTCAGTATTAAAAAATGTGTCTCTTTGCCCCATGCAAGAACTACTGATATCCAATGTTTATTGGCTTTGGAAATGATACCTCCATTTATTTATTTTTTGGGTGAATGCCATTCTGGCTGTCCCTGGAGGTCATTTAATGCTGAGTACTTTGAAGAAACTGACTAGAATTCATTCCAGCATGTTTTTGTGCCTGCTTCTTCATATAGGTGGGGTGGTTCCTCCCACAGTGGGAGCGATACTAAGCAGATCTGCTTAGATGTAAGTCCCACGTTAGTCAGTGGGGCTTACTCCTAGGAAAGTGTCCTTGGATTTGCCACCAAAAGTGGGTGCTAGTCCCTGAAAGCCTACGCTGGGATAAAATTTGACATTGGTTTAAGTACCATTTTTCCTGCAACGGAGCCACGCTTCTGGGTTTAATTCCTGAGCCTCTGAACACTTACTCACAAGTAAACCCACTGAATATACTGGCTCGTAAACATGGTGGCGATGTCTACCTGTTGCCCTAGATACAAAGAAATTATGCCGCCCAATCCTATACTTCGGTAAGCCCCAGTGATGTCAAAGAGACTAAAGGTATGCGCATAGGATTATGTATGGTGCTCATATCCTGCTTTCCCTTCGTCATTGGAACATGCAGCCATGCATCTAAGATGGGGTTGTCACGCTGCAAACCTGAACATACATACCTCAAGATTAAGCTTGGTGGGCATTTCTAGGCCTGTTGATTCAGAAGATCATTTCAAATTTGTGCTGAATTGCAGTAGAAAAGCTAGATTCCAGTGGCACCTGAGAGACCAAGATTTTGGGGGAAGGAGAAGAGGAGATTGGATTTATACCCTGCCCTTCACTACCTGAAGGAGCCTCAGAGAGGTTTACAATCTCCTCTCCTTTCCCCTCCCCACAGCAGACACACTCTGAGGTAGGTGGGGCTGAGAGAGCTCTTTCGAGGACTGCTCCTGAGCGAACAGCTCTGAGAGAACTTGTAACCGACCCAAGGTCATACCAACAGCTGCATGTGGAGGAGCAGGGAATCGGTTCTCCCAGATTAGAGTCCATGCTTCTAACCACTACACCAAACTGGCTCTTACAGGGCAAGAATGAAGGATACCTGACGAAGGGAGGATTGACTCTCGAAAGCTTATACCCTGAAAATCTGGTTGGTCTCTCAGGTGCCATTGGACTTGAATCTAATTGATTCAGAAGTATCTGGCTGTCTTTAGTGACTCCACACTAACAAGGATTTATGCTTCACAGGTGAAACCACCCCAGAGAGGTGCTACTGCGCAGTAAGTGTGTTTCTGCATTTTCACAGGAAATTGGGTTGTAGTTTTCAATTGATTCTCTTTTCTGTCGGACATTTTAAAAATCGTAGTCATCTGTGTCCAAATCTGCCCTGATCCCGTATGCCAAAGGATGCTGTGCATGCCCTTCCAAGCATGAAAAAGTCCAATCTGGGAGGTGGAACTGCATGCAGGGGTGAAAATAAACTTATATTTCCTATTGGTACAGGATGGGGGGGGGGCTCCATTTCAGCCACTTTCTTCCCCCTACCTCATCTTAGTTTCACCCCATGTCTGTACCATGTGCAGCCCCATTCAAATATATAGAATGATCATCTGTTTGGGGAGAGGTATGACTCTAGCCCCCCTGGTCTCTTGCATTGAACTTGCCAGCATCAGGAAATGCGCAGTACAATATTTCCCTTCCTGACTTGCCTTGCTGGACCTGGGCCAAAGCATGCAAGAAGGTAGATTGTGTTTTAAATGTCGTGCGTGAAAGCCTGTGAGGATGCAGTCCTACCCAACAAGTCAATAAGTTTTACTTCTGAACAAATCAGAGTTCCTGGCATTTTCAAAGACCGATTCCGCAAAAGCAGTTGTTCCGTCCTTGGTCTTCCGTTTCTTCCCGGTTGTACTGCTCAATTTCCCATTATTTGCTGCGTGGCTGCATTTTGACCCTGATTTCCCCCATGTCTTCTTGATCCTTATCTTTTAGGATCAAGAAGACAAGGGGGAAATGGGTGTGTGTGTGTGATGTGAGCAGGGCCGGCTCACTCACTAGGCGAACTAGGCGTTTGCCTAGAGCGTGCTGGCCCTTAGGGCGCTAAACTGCACCCGGCGGTGGCGGCAGCTGGGGGATAGTTGCCTCTAAAGAGAATTTGGGGGGGGCAGGGGAGGAATCCCTTCCCCGCCTCCTGCTGCACCCTCTGACTTCCTTCCCTGCCTTTCTCCCAGTCCGGAGTGTCATCATGGAATTTCTTTGCGGGCTCACGGAGAGGCACGCAGCGGCGGGGGGGAGACACAAGGTGAGGGGGGGCGCCACACAGGCAGCCTCGCCTGGGGGGGCTAGTTTTGCCTAGGGCATCGAAAAACCTTGGCATTCCCCTGGATGCGAGTCAAAATGTGACCGTTGCAGCAAATAGTGGGAAATTGAGCAGTACAACCAGGGGAAACGGGAGACCAAAGGCGGAACAACTGCTTTTGCGGAATCAGTCATAAGCTTGTTTGTCTTTTCAGATCTATAGACATCTCCTTTAACAGCTGAATGCACGGAACACACACAATTCAGTCTGCTGTCGGACAGCGAGATTCCAGTCCATTCAGCACCTTAGAGGCCAACAAGATTTTCATGATCCAAGCTTCTAAGACTCGAAGCTTCTTTCGTCTTTGAAAATTATAGCCCCAGATTCTTGTTGGTCTCTAGGGTGCTGCTGGACTCGTGTGTAATTTCATGGATGCAACTCACTCCCCGGGGGCATACAAATCTGTACATTAGGGCCGTGGCTGAGGTGGGCACCAACATCTCAGGGTGTGACGCGTAAGCAGTCTCCCAGTTTTCATTTGTCCTGAGAGACAGCTGCTGAGGGCCGTGAGGAGCAGACACACAGAGCAGGTGTGCCAAACCCTTTTCCCTCCTCCACAGGATCCCACCCACCCTGCTCGAGTTGAAATCCCTTCCTTAAGCTGCTTTTTTCCTCCAAAGAAAAAGCCATGGGGATCCTCTTGGCAGTTCCCCATCTGAAAAGGAAAGTGCTCACGGAAGGGCTTTGACTTACTGACAGAGCATTTGCTTTGTAAGCAGAGAGTCTCCAGTTCAGCTTACAAGGATGCCGGGTTGCCAGTCTCCAGGTGGGACCTGGGGATCCCCTGGAATTACAGTTCATCTCCAGACTACAGAGATCAGTTCCCCTGGAGAAAACGGATGCCAGATGGGGAAGGAGTTGTGTGTGTTTTTTTGCCCTCAAGGTGCAGCTGATTTATGGCGACCCTTTAAGGTTCTCAAGGCAAGAGATTTGCAGAGGAGGTTTGCCATTGCCTGCCTCTGTGTCGTGACCCTGGGGTTTCTTGGAGGAATCCCATCTAAATACACTAGCCAGGGTTGACCTGGCTTAGCTTCTGAGGTCTGACAAGATCAGGCTAGTCTTGCCGCTCCCAGTCAGCAATGGAAGAAAGCTTCAGACGTTGCAAAGGCTTCTGGGGCAGTTTCTGGCTGGGAGGGGCACCTGCAGGAGTGTGGCTCTCCTGCCTCCTGCAAGCCCCAGACACATAAAACACAGAGCAGTGGCAGGAAGGCTTTGCTGCTTCTGACGGAGGGTGCAATCATGTGCACCTGTGGGACCGTGCATGAAGGAGGGGTATCCACAAGAGGCCATGGTGCTCAGAACCCTCTTGCATCAAATGTGGAGCCTGCCCAGGCTGGGGGGGTATCCCGCTCTCCCTGCATCCTGAGAACCATTGTTATAAATGGGACTGCTTATATGCCTCTCTGCTGGGAGGGGGAACCCATTTAATTCATAAGAACGTAAGAAGAGCCCTGCTGGCTCAGACCAGTGGTCCATCTAGCCCAGCATCCTGTCTTATGCAGTGGCCAGCCAGTTCCTCTGGAGGGCCATCAACAGGGTACGGAGGCTGAGGTCTTCTCCTGATGTTGCCTCCTGGCTCTGGGATTCAGAGGCTTCGTGCCTCTGAATGTGGAGGTTCCCCTCAGTCATCATGGCTAGTAGCCACTGATAGACTTATCCTCCATGAATCTATCTAAACCCCTTTTAAAGTTCTCTGTTCCTGTGGCCATCACTACATCCTCTGGCAGCGAATTCCACATTTTAATCACTCTCTATGTAATGGTTTGTTGCAAATGTGAGTTTGGAACCCTAGCAGGGAGAGAAGTTGCTGGGGGACCATCCAGTGGGTGGCAGATCGCTCCCCCCAGGTTTCTCCTCCCAAACAGCCCCTCTTGCCACGCAGCTGTGCAGCAGAGACACAACCGCTAGGAATTCGGAGCTGCCCACCAACCTATAAGTCTAGCCTTACTCCCAAGTTACCTGCCCATAGCATTGATGGGTTCAGGGATGCATTTAGGAGCCGAGCTTAAGGCAGGTAAGATGGTATGTATTGCATATATTCCAACTTTCCTTCAAATTAACATTGTTTTTTAGCGGAAAAGAACCCCCCGCCCTCCATGTTTTCAGACGTTCTTAAATGTCTGCATCTCTGTGTGTGACTACCTTCCTGTGGGTAGCCGTGTCAGTCTGAAGCAGCAAGGCTTGAGGCCTGTGCGTGCACACAGAAGCTGATACCCAGAATTAAATTTTTTTGGTCTTAAAGGTGTGCCACTGGACCTAAACTTTGTTCTGCCTTCCCATGGATTTGTGTGGAGGGGAAACTAGAAGGTATTAAAATAGCATAAAATGACTCACGAGAGCTCCGTGTCTCACGTCTGACGAAGGAAGCTGTGACTCTCGAAAGCTCCTACCCTGAAACTCTTGTGACGGAACTCGAATCTAAGCGTTCTGCTGCGGACCAGCATGCCAGGCCTTTGAAACTAGAAGGCAATCAGTAATTCAGAAATTCAGTTTTCCTGAAATTGGGGTGTGTGTGTGTGTTGATTTTTCTTAAATGATACTTACATCGCTGAAATGGAAATGCAGATGATTTTCATGGGCTGCTCCACGGGACTAAAAGGTCCCGGCTGCCAAGACAGACTAATTTGGCCGTGTTGCGGGCAATTTCCTGCTGGCGGCCTGTTGTGTCCGCTGACCGCCACCAGAGGCTAGCGCACACTCCTGAGCTTGAATCAGCAGAACAATGGGGACTAGGATCCTGGTCTCTCCACTGGGGGACCAATGGGACCTTGGCGGGAGATTCAAACCCACCAACGGGACCTAGGGGTATGTCCCCAGGCATGTATATAGTTGGCCACCCAGCTGCTGTTGTTTGTCTTTGTTGTGTACCAGTAAACCATGCTGATCACTACATCGGTTCCAGAGGTTTCTTAATGCGTCGAACCCACTGCACATCACGGCCGCTGATGGGGATGGTCCCCCCCTCCCCTCCCCTCTTATCATCGGTCCTTATGCAAATAACCCTTTTCTAGTACATGAAGTGCAATGTGTAGCAGTTACGGATGCACTGTGGAAAAGCCAGATGCCTTTTCCTGGGATTTCACTTAGGATCGCCAGCTGCATTTTAGGAAATTCTTGGAGGTTTGGGGGTGGGGCCTGGAGAGGATGGAGTTTGGCTGCGGAAATGCACATAGAGTGTTTTGTGCCAGTTTGGTTGGTTCGTGTTTTGGGGGAGGGAGCTCAGTGGAATGTGATGCCACAGAGGCCACCCTCCAAAGCTGCCAGTTCATTCAGAAAAACCTTGGAGATAAGTTGTGATTCTAGAAGAACTCCAGGTGCCTCTTGGGCCTTGGAAATAAGTATTGCCAGCAAGGCTCCCTCTAAGCTGTGGAGTCTTGTGAGCGAAAAGGCTACTTTGTGAGCTGCTGGCATTAGAGTTGTGAGCGGGCGATTTGGCTGCTGCATACATTAGCCTGCTCTGGAGCCCATCCTTCCTGAGCTAAGGCAAAGACGTGTGAGCCGGAGGCTAAAAACTGGTGAGCTAGCTCACACTGACTCAGCTTAGAGGGAGCACTGGTGGCCAGTTCTGGGTTGGGAAATACCTGGAGATTTTTTGGGGGTGGAGTGAGTCTGGGGAGGGCGGGGCTTGAGGAGGGGAGGGAGTTCAGTGGGGCACAATGCCATAGAGCCCACCCTCCAAAGCAGCCTTTCTCTTCGGGGGAGCTGATCTCTGTCATCTGGAGAGCAGCTGTAATTCCAGGAGATCCCCAGCCACCACCTGGAGGTTGGCAAGCCTATGTAACCCAAGAAGACCCCCCCTCCAAATCTAACATCTGTATTATGTTTTATGGGGGCTTGAATCCTTTTACTTCTCCAGGGGGAAATGTAAAAAAAATTGGGAGGTGATGGAAGGATAGTTAACTGGGAAGGAGAGGATTAAGCAGCCCCTCTTCCCCTTCCTGTTCTGCTTCGCATGTTAAAGGGAAGTCTTCAGGAAAGACCAGGCATTTTTCAAGAGCACTGTCATGTGTATCCTTTGGGGAAAAAACCAACTATCCGAGCTTGACTAGCATAATTATTACCATAGAGAGATGCTGAACAGGAAGGGTGGGAAGGGTAGGGACATCTGCGTTGTAAGTAGGGAAAAACTTAAAACAACTGAAAATTAAATGAACATAGTTCTTATTCAACGTCTTATCCTAGCATGTGATAGATAGGCAACAGGTTGGGATGCCAGCCTCCAGGTGGGACCTGGGGATCCCCTGGAATTACATCTCATCTCTAGGCGACAGAGAACAGTTCCCCTAGAGAAAATGGATGCTTTGGAGGGGGGGCTGTCTGGCATTGTACCCCACTGAGGTCCCTGTCTCCCCCCCTCCGCCTCCTTCCCCAAATTTCCAGGAATTTACCAGCCTGGATCTGGCAACCCTACCCCCCACCAGTAACTAGGGGGGACTTGGCAACCCTCAATCGCCAGAGGTTCGTGTGGGTCATCAGAAAATTGTGGACTTAACCTTCAATTACTTTTGAAGCCCCACGTGGGAGAATGTGTTAGCCCCACGTACTGAGGAGGGTACCTGGGTGCCGTGATTGGATAATGTCTGTGACATCACCAGGGTTAAAGAGACAAGGGGCTGAGTTCAAGGAGCATAAGTGAAGTAGCTGTATGTCTTTGGAAAGCCAGCGTGGTGTAGTGGTTAAAGTTTTGGCCTAGGATCTGGGAAATTCAGATTCAAATCCCCACATACGCTCCACCTAAACCTACCTCACGGGGTTGTTGTGAGGATAAAACAGAGGAAAGGAGAATGATGTAAGCTGCTTTTGGGTCCCCACTGGAGTGAAAAAGGGCAGGATATAAATCAATAAATGAAAGTAATGCCTGGGGGTTGGTTTTTACTTTAGTTCTTGTTGGTTGTTGGTGGGGAGTTGTTCTCTTAATTGTGCAGCCATGGAGTTCCCAGGGCCATAAAACTAAAACTGCACAAGCATATAATAGCTGCTTGTTTTTGTGCCTGAAGGGTAAATTTTTTGCAAAAGCTGTTATTTCACATGAAGCAGCCTTACACAAGCCCTGTTCCCAATTTACAGCTAATGCATGTAACAACCTGTATGCAGGGTGCACACCCAACACACCCACCCACCGTACACAGTTTACACCCCTATGCACGTAACAGCCCGCATGCAGGTTACACCCCAATGCACACATAATCCGTATTCAGAGTACACACCAAAGCACAAAACAATCCATATACACACCAGTGTACGTACAATCCGTATGCAGGGTGCACATCAGTGCACGCACAATGACTTCCATGCTCGCAAGCACACACACACACAAAATACTAGGGACATCCAGTTTGCATCAACTAGGGCCCTTTCGGCCCTGCCTGGTGGAACGAGCTACCTTATGAGATCAGGGCCTTGTGGTGACCTGCTGGATGGGACCACAATATTATCTGGGATCAGGGCCTTGTGGTAACCTGCTGGATGGGACCACAATATTATCTGTTGAGGCACATTATTGTTTTTGTCTGGGGCGATCTTATTGATTTTAAATGGATTGTGATAATGTGTTTTATTTGTAAGTCTATATTAATTGCAGGTCCTAATTGTAAATTATAAATGGTTTTAACTGCAAATCTGCATTATTGTAGACCTATATGTTGGTGCCCTACTAAGCCTACAATGTGGGGAGGGCAGGATATAAGTCTAACAAAATAAAAATAAAATAAATACTCAGCAAAAAGAGCACATAACAATCCATGTGAACACCAATGCACACATATGTTCACATTCACACGTGAACAGGGCTACAAAGTTAGGCCGTTGGTCTGTCAAGGCCAGTATGGTCTACTCTGAGCAGCAGCAGCAGCTCTCCAGGGTCTCAGGCAACGATCTTTCATATCTGAGGTCTTTCACAGCACGTCCTGCCCGAACCTTTGATCTGGAGATGCCAGAGATTGAACCTGGGACCTTCTGCATGCAAAGCAGAGGCTCTGCCACTGAGCTATGGCTCTAACCCTTTTAAGTAGAGAGAAAGAATGAGAGGAGAAACTTAATTTGAAAGTGTCCCCCCCCCCTGGTGATAAAAATGAGCTATTGCCTGAAGTCAAATAAGCCGCTTTTTGTTCCCCTGGGTTGCACAGTACAGTTGATGGGCCAGGGAGTGGGACGGCCAGAGAGAAGAAGCAAGAGCCTCAGGCTGGACGGGTATCAGACCATCATGACTGCTGAGGAGGAAGAGGAGGAGGAGGCGGCAGAATGTGCCGAGGATGTTGCAGAGAAGCACAGTCAGAAGCTGAAAGCCATATGTGGACAGGCCGACCTAAAGAATGGTACTTGTTGAATGCCCGCTTGGCTCTTCCTCTCTCCCTGCCCCCTTCTGTGTTTCTCTTTTCTGTCCTTGTGATTAGATGTGCTCCGTTTGAGTGCTTGTAAGGAAGCTTGTTGTGGAGTTGTTGGCAGAGGTCGATTCGGGGGGGATCCGCGGGGGATCGCAGTTCCCCCGGGTGAGGTGCGGGGGGTGGGGCACACGACGAAGTGCCACCCCGCTTCCGGCCCTCATTCAGCCAGGAGGAGGCAGGAGAAGAGGGAGGGTAAGTTGCTTCCTCCCCGCCTCTTCCCACCCCTACCTGCCTGGGGCCAGGGAGGGCCTTGGCAGGGCTTCCTCGCACTCCCGCCGGCCTTGCAGGTCCACCGCCGGGCCCCTGATGTCAGGGGGTGTGGCATATGCTAATGAGTTATGCTAATGAGTTCCCCTAGCTCTTTTCCTACAAAACGACCTCTGGTTGTTGGGAGGCTGCAACCCATGCCAGAAAGACGTGGATGTCACAGGTGTTTGATTTTGCCTTTTTTTTGCGGTGAAGTCACAGCTGACTTTTATGGAGATCCCTTGGCGCTTTCAAGGCAGGAGAGATTCGGAGGCAGGTTGCCATTGCCAGCTTCTCTGTGGCAGAACTGGTATTCCTTGGTGGTCTCCCATCCAAATAATAACCGGGGCTGACCCTGCTTAGTTTTTGAGGTCTAGTGAGATCAGACGAGCCTGGGCTATCCAGGTCAGTATCCTTATTTTGCACAAGGGTGCTTTATTTGTGAACTGCTTGAGGGGGGATCTTTTCAAGTAGTTTGCCTTTTCCTTTGAGTCTGTAGCTGGGGACCTGAGGGTCTCCCTTGGCACAGAATTCGATGAGAGGTAGTGGTTGGAGTATCAAATGAGGATCTGGAAGGTCCAGATTCAGATTCCCACTCTGCAGTGGAAACTTGTTGGGTGACCTTGGGCCAGTCACACACTCTTAGCCTAACCTCCCTCCCAGGGTTGTTGGGAGAACAAGATAGAATGATATAAGCTGCTTTGGGCCCCCATCAGGGAGGAAGGCAAGTTATAAATGCATTATATGAAATAAATAAAGAAATTGCAAAGGGTCCCTGCCAATCCATTCTTCCATCTTGAGGGAACCCTTAGCTAAATTGTTCTATCTGCAGACCTTAATAAATTTCTGTCAGTCCAAAGATCTCCAGAGGCCTTACATTCAGCATATTGGTAAGCATTGTGCAGATAACTTGAGTTTTGTGGATAGATTGGGGTGGGAACCTGCCCCACACGAGAGCCAGTTTGGTGTAGTGGTTAAGGGTGGTGGACTCTAATCTGGAGAACTGGGTTTGATTCCCCACTCCTCCACATGCAGCCGCTAGGTGATCTTGGGTCAGTCCCAGTTCTCTCAGAGCTGTTCTCTCATGAGCGGTTCTCTCAGAGCTCTCTCAGCCCCACCTACCTCACAGGGTGTTTGTTGGGAGAGGAAGGAAAGGAGATTGTAAGCCACTCTGAGTGAAGGGTGGGGTATAAATCCAACACTCCTCCTCCCCCTCTCCTTAAATAGCAGCTCTGTTTGGTATTGTCACAGATAGTACTGCAAGCAGTTAAATGAGCATCTTTTTTTTCCTCCTTGCCATTTGCACAACGTTTGTGTTTCATTTTCCCCTCTGCCTTCAGAAGCTGTTGGCCTGTACAATATTGGACTCAGCTGCTGCCTCAACTCTTTGCTTCAGGTTTTCTTCATGAACAGAAACTTCACTGCGATACTCCGGAGGTGAGTGAGGGTAGGAAAGTCTGTGTGCCCCCCCCCAAAAAAAACCTGAGACCTCTAAGTCAGCCTTGACTGTTTCAGGCTAAAACCGAGAATAAAAAGTTCACTGTCTCAAGCCACACTTCCGTGGAGTTCTGTTTAAGAAGTGCACTTCACATCCTTTGTGTTCTTTCATTCTTGAACACTATGGGCTTCTTCTTGTCTTGTGACTGGCGCATGGGCTGCTGAACATGTTTCCAGGCGGTGCTGGTTTTGTATGGCAGATGCACTGAATAAGAGCCATTCTCCATGTGGATGATCCCAGCCCTGGTGACAAGTTAAGAGTGAACGCAGCACAATCCATGTACAGTGTAATCTTGATTTTTTTTTCTTTATATGCACATCAAGCATGTTTGACACCCTTGGTTTACACTGTGAACAGCTATTTCTCAGATCACAGCTACTATAGACCTGCCGCTCTGTAGAATTGTATCTCTCCCGAAGCTAGGGTTGCCAAGTGAATTTTGACTTACCGGCGGGGGAGCCTCGCCGGGCTCCGGGAGCCGTCCCTCATCATGCGCACGCCGCCAGCATGTCACAAGAAGTGAGGTGCGACATCGATCACATTGAGGGCGTGGCCCCGATAGTCGGAGGGAAAACCACGTGATCGATGTGGTTGCATCACCTCTGGTGACGCAGCCACGCTGCGCTTCGGGGGGCGGAGTTCCCCCTGGGGCCCGATTCCGCTGCGGCGGAAATCGGGCCTCCGAAGCGGGGGATTACCCGCCCCCACTTGGCAGCCCTACCCGAAGCTCTCTGTGGGAGTCATAATGCATGAAGTTGCCTTCACTTCTTTTTTCCTTAATTTTAAAACTTTATTTCTATTTAAAAAATCCAAACAGTACAACTCTACAATTATATGCTCTTCACATACCATGAGAAGTAAATGAAGGGCAGTTGGAGCAGAGACAAAAAACCATGGTGCGGTAGAAAGACAATTTTATTCCGAAATATTAATAACCCCTACGTGTTTCACATTAATCATCCTCGGGGATCAATACAGATGTCAAAAAATGAAAGGGGGGGAGGAAAGGTTAACAAATGTCTTTTGACTGTTTCTCTTAATTTGTTTAAAAATATCAAAACAATGATAGGAACGTGTTTAAAAAGATAGAACATCTGAGCATGTACAAAGAACACTTAATTATCAGGAGCCACCAAAACTCTACTGGGAGCTTAGAATAATGTTATAACAATTATTGCCGGCATGGAAAAAACAAGAGTGCTCCAAAGCTATTAATTTCAAAAATGATTTCATACAGTGAACCAAAGAATCTATACTGACCTGTGGAACGTAAAAGCAGCAGTGCTCCCGTTAAACCAGCTTCGAAAAAAATGTGCTGTTCTCACCCTGCATTCTGTTCTCTCCCGGCATGATCCTCGCCATCTTCTCCGGTCTTCATCTCTGCATTTATTGAAGGTCCTTGGTCAGTGAACGGTCCGCCTTGTGTCAACAAGGGTGAGGGTCTTCTCAGTAGTGGCCCCCCGTCCTGTGAAACCAGCTGCCTGAAGACGTGTTCATTGTGGGACTTCCCCAGGTTCCACTGGAAATGCAAGGCTGATCTTATTCAGACGGTCTTTGGGGGATTGTATACTGGGGTACTTCAGCTGTGTCTTCGCCATCCACACATCCTACCCTGCTTGATAGTGGATAGATTTTAATGGGGATAGACTTTTAATCATTTTAGATTTTAAATGCTTGTTTTATTGGGTGTATTTTACATACTGTTAGCAACCCCAAGTCGTTCCCGTTCAGAGGAGAGGGAGCAGGATATAAATTTGACTAAAATAAAAATTGAGTAAGTCAAAGCCAGTGAGGAAATGTTTCCATTTAACCCATGTGGTACCAGTGCTCTCAGCTCAGCTTCCCTTCTAAGGAGAACCTTATCATTCTGGCTATCAGATCTATATCCATCCATCCATCCCAGAAAAAGAAATCAGCAGGGGCATGATTATGTTTTAAAAAATCTGATAGCCAAAACTTGATTCTTCTTAAAAGAGAATCAGAGTGGATTCTTAAGCTGACATACATATAGATCCACCCAGGGGTCTTTTCCTGCAGGAGCACACAAGAGTGGAGCTCTGGCAGTAAAGAGCCCAGGGGGCGGGCACATGTGACAAGCCCCACCCCCTGCTCCCAGCAGCCCCTGGCCATGCGGACCACAAGGATCTGTGCGTGTCCCCCCCCCATAGCTAGCAATCCAAAACAGTCCAGTGGAACCTGAGCAGTGGGTGTTGCCTTCTGACACACTTCCGGTGATAACAGGGTGTGGCATATGCAAACGAGTTATGCTAATGAGCTCCTGCACCTCTTTTTCTATGAAATGACCCCTGGATCCACCCGAGGAAGCTTAACACAAAACATGTAGGAGTTATTAATATTTTGGAATAAAATTTTCTATACAGTGATAACTTGTTCATTGTCTGTGTGTTCAACCATAGTCCCTAGGGTGGCACCAGCTGGCCCTTCCATTTCTGTGCCCCTGCCATTCTTGCCCCCAAACCAGTGACCAGCTGAGATGATAAGATACTTTTGCGGCAGATTCATTCAATAAGTAAATCTTCGGTGAGCAATGACATGTGCATTGCAAAGTGACTTCCATCTCTTTATGCACTCTATTCTAGTCTTTTTGTTTGTTTTGTATTTTTATGTGTCGATGTGTGTGCACCTTGAAGTCATGGCGGTCTCTGGTGACTGACCCCTACTGGGGGCCTGGAGAATATTCAGAGAGGTGGCTGAATAAACCCTGCCCCCGCCTCCTCCCTCTGGTGTTTCAAGGAGGTCTCCCATCCAAGTACTTGCCACAGTCGGCCCTGCTTAGCTTCCGAGATCTGACAAGATCGGGCTTGCCTGGGCTGTCCAGGTCAGGGTCTGTTCCAGTCTTCTTTAACAACTGGACAAAGCTACCACAGAAGTTTGATGTAGTGGTTAAGTGTGCGGACTCTAATCTGGGAGAACCGGGTTTGATTCCCCACTCCTCTACTTGCAGCTGCTGGATGACCTTGGGCAAGCCGTAGTTCTGTCAGAGCTGTCCTTGAAAGAGCAGTTTCTGTCAGAGCTCTCAGCCCCACCCACCTCACAGGGTGTCTGTTGTAGGGAAGGGAAAGGAGTTTGTAAGCTGCTCTGAGACTCCTTCAGGTAGTGAAGGGTGGGGTAGAAATCTTCTTGTTTATTTTGTTGATTGATTTGTTTCATGTGTACCCTGCCTTTCTC